GCGGAGACTAAAATGTGTCCTTGAAACCTAGGCCAGAGGTATGGGAGTCCTTACCAGTAAGCGATTTCAGCTCCCTGTTTAGCAGTTATGTTTTCATACTCTCATTTGGTGTTCAGTGGAGTGACCCTGAGAGCAGGCCCTGTAGCTCAGTAGGTGGGAACACTCCAGCTGACCTTTGAGGAGGTGGATACCCAGAAGCACCGTTGAAAAGTCTGGTTGTGTGGAGTATAGAGTTTCATTCTTAAATTTGCTTTGCCAGGGAGAAAGCCTGTAAGGGAGAAAGCTAGGAAGAGAATGAGTAAACTCAGGGCCACGCTAATTCATATTTTTGGAGAATTACAGGGGACAAGTAATCTGTTTTTAAAATGTTTGGTCTGTGGTGTTTCATGTGGGAGAAGAGCCTGAGGATTATCGCATAGGCTAAGGTCACACACAGGTGATAGGTGTATAAGGAAAACAAGTGATGCAGCCAGGTGGGAACTTTGAAAAGAATGTGCCCAGTGAGTGACAAGGGGTGGCCCATGACAGCATCCCAGTTATCCCCCGTGCAGGGGAGCTGCCCCCTGGTGGCCACATTTTTTAACTTTCCAAGAGAAAAAGGAAATAATGGAATTTAATGTAAGCCTTCCCACCTTTTAAATATTAGTGACAAATTCCTTTTTTCCTCTAAGATCGCTAAAGTAACAGAGACAATAAAGTGACCTGTTTTAGGCCTGTGGACTCTGCAGCGAGCGTCAAACAGTGGAGAGAAAAACGTGCAGTCCAGGCTGCGCAGCTGAATACATGGTCAGCTCTCGTGCCAGGCACGGTGCCTGGCATGGAGCACATGCTCTGCATGTTTTTGTTGAGTAAACGGGGCAAACCTCTGTTGCTAGTCATTCTTCCCATGTGCAGAATGGACTGCATGTTTTTGTTGAGTAAACGGGGCAAACCTCTGTTGCTAGTCATTCTTCCCATGTGCAGAATGGAGTGATTGGAGTGAGCCTCCCCTCAGTTCTAACTTAGAAGATAGAGATCCAGTCAGAACTTGTATTGCCCTCCTTGCAGGACCCTCTCTCCCCTGTCCTCTTCCCTTGCATGCCCTCTCCCAGCACCTAGGGTACCTAGGGGTTCAAGCTTCTAGATTTTAAGAAGGTTTAAGAAATAAAAAGAAAGTTCATATTGTTACACTTCGATACAAGACTGATTCAGTTTAGCCTGGTTTTCTTTCCTCTATCATGGTTAGTGCACTTTTGTTTAATTTTGATAGACTTGACTGTATAATAAGTGATCCAGATTATAGTGAGGCTCACACAGAATCTTACAAGTACATAAAAATGTTCTCCTAGAAAATAAGTCCTTTTCCCTATAAAGGTTGATAGAACATTGCTCATGTAACAGTGTGGGCTTTTCTCTGTTTAAAGATAATGAGAGGATTTTTCTGAACCCTTGGGCATTTCGCAGACCCTTCTTTTACAACAAATTCTGGTGATATCTGCCCTTTTTAAAATAAAAGTTTTTACTGTCTTGAGCAAGATTATTTTTGTTGCACTTATCAAGAATCAGTTAACGTTAAAGCTCAGAAGAGGGGAGCCATTTACTTTACAGGTCTGTGGGATTCTTAAACCCTTGGGAAAGGAAATGCTTTGGGCCTCTGGAGGACCATACCTGGGACAGGAAAGTCCAAGAACAACCCTCCCCCACCCCCCCAACACAAACCGGTTCCCTTTCTCTCCTCTGGGATTTCATGGCCTCCTGGGTTGGATTCTCTCTGAGCAGGATGTGTATTCTTCTCTTTGCTGACTGGCTTTTTCTTACAGACTGAGAGTGCATGGGGGTAGCTTGCAGCGGAGACCAGAGTAGACCCTCTTCATTCCAAATTCTAGTTCCAAGGAGAACAAATGGAATGTCTCAGTTTGGGTCATGTGTCCAACTTCAGCCAAAACAGAGGAGGAGTTTAGAGTCGCATAATACAAATATCATTTGGCAGGGAGTTGAGAATTACGTAGTACTTAGAAAAAAGAGTCACCATGGGCTAGGCAGCTCCTCTAGAGAAGAAAGGCATCTTCTACAGTCTTGCCCCCCCACCCCAAGTATATAAATGTATGCGTCTCTCAGGATTTTGGAGAAATCCAGTTATATATTTTTTTCTTTTTTAAAGATTTATTTATTTATTTGAGAGAGAGAGAGAGAATCTCAAGCAGATTCCCCTGCTGAGCACGTAGCCCAATGCGAGTTCGGCTCTATTCCAGGACCCCGAGATCATGACCTGAGCCAAAACCAAGAGTCAGATGCTTAACTGACTGAGCCATCCAGGCATCCCTATATCTTTTTTATTTACTTCTCTCCCATCTCTGCCTGTCATTTAAAAACTATCTTATTAAAAATTCTATTTATTCAATGTTACATAGTAGGTGGTGAATGAATAAAAGCTGTCCAGTTTTATGTTTCTATTCTTCGAAATAGTCTACCTTTTAAACAGTATCTCTTTGTCTTTGCAAAACAAAATAAAGTTGCTGTTTAGGCAGTTTGGTGTACGGGTAAGGGAACTAAATAACATCAGAGGCCTCCATTCTCGTTCCAATTCCAAACCATTTATTTACTGGGCAATCTTGAGCAAATTATGACCTCTCTCAGTCTGTTTCCTTGCTAGTAAAATGTGGACCCTAACACCAGCTTTTTTGAGCACAGTGTTCTTGTGAAGATAGAAAAGGAGAACATATACAAACATAGGATAGTTGTCTTTCTACCCCCTGTTCTAAGAGAAGTTGCTATTTTTAAATGCTTATTTTTAGTAACTGCCACTACCTTTTTTTCCTCTAAAAATAGAGTTTCCCTTAAAGCATTTTTAAGGTATGCAGGCTAGTAAATGGTGAGTTCTTTTAAAGGTAGATGCTGTCCTGGGGGCGATCTCACGGCACCCCAGATCTGATGACTTCCTTGCATGCTTTGGGGATAAGGCTGGAGTGTCCTGATGGAAAACGGAAAAATAGCTTGACCTAATGAAATCCTATCAAGCACAGAGTTTAATCTGATGCCAGTGTTGTTTCGCCTTCAGTCTGCTCTGAAGGAATCCCTGGCAGTGAGCGGGCTGAATGGTTATCTCTAACCGAACATCTTTATTGGCTGTCTCTATCCTGGTGATTTGTAGCTTCCTTTGAGCGATTTTGCATAGCTGAAAAGTGTTTAGGATGCAAAGAAATGAATTTTGGCTCAGGACAGACATGTTAAGCAAGATAGTGGCTTTTATTGGAAATAAGGCAGAAAAAGAACACTAAAATGGAAATCAGAAAACTTTTAAAAGATAGGAGACTAGGAAGGAATTAGAAATCTAGGGAAGAGAAACATCTGGCTTATAAAGATTGGAAGAATGATTACTGAATGCTTACATTACTGAATAACATTTTGTGGATGAATGAAACTGAAACTGTTTTAAAAAGGGAGAGGGAAAGGATATGATCCAGGAATAACTTAAGAGCCAATAAAGATAATTATGAATAAATGTTCAAAACATGGTATAGAATTTCAGCTGCTGACTTTCAGAGATGCTTTATTAGTGTCTCAGACCATAGAAATTTTTGGCTTACTATCTTAGAGTGTATGAAAGTAAATTAAATTAAGCAAAACAATCTTCTTGCTACCCATCCTTGGTATATAGGTTGTGAGGATCATAGGAAGGGAAGTGTATTAATAGTGAATTTTTCATATGAAATCACCCTGCCTTGTGCTTTACACCTTGACAGCATTTGCTTCATAGCGTGTTATTACCTGTATTTGCTGTTCTTTTTCTTGTGCTGCATGTCAGACTTGAAAACCGGCTTAATTTCAAACTCTAGTTTGTTAGCCTCCAATCCCTTGACTCCTTAACTCAGTGCTCCTCTCCAAATTAATTTTAATAGTAACCACATTCTACTTGAAATATATATGTATGCATAACTATGAAAATATGTGTGTGATGAAACACATAAGTCCCTTGTGCTTTTTAGGAGGATGGCTTAATTGAGTTTTTGTTTTCTATTTGTAGTGTTATGAATTGCTTTTTTTAAATTGCTGAATAATAAAGGACAGAGTGAGCTCTCCAAATAATAATCTCATTCAGTGTTGTATGTGTTTTAAATTTGTGATATTGACAGGTTTCATAGGAGCAGGCTTTCTGAATTAACCACTTCAAAAATTAAGTGAAAAGTCATTAGTGGCAAATTACACACAATGATTTTAAGCCCCAGGAGGCTGCCTCTATGTACACATTGAATAGTCATTTGTTCTTAGGTTATTGTAAATATAGCCAGTTAAATTCACTGTAAAAAGGAAAAAAAAAAAACTGAATTGCATTTGTTGTGAAATTGGTAAAGTGCCTCTAATTTTGGGGGCGCCTGGGGGGCTCAGTTCGTTAAGCGACTGCCTTCGGCTCAGGTCATGATCCTGGAGTCCCGGGATCGAGCCCCGCATCGGGCTCCCTGCTCAGCAGGGGGTCTGCTTCTCCCTCAGACCCTCCCCCTCTCATGTTCTCTCTCTCATTCTCTCTCTCTCTCTCAAATAAATAAATAAAATCTTAAAAAAAAAAGAATTGCTTTTTTTAAATTGCTGAATAATGAAGGACAGAGTGAGCTCTCCAAATAATAATCTCATTCAGTGTTGTGTGTGTTTTAAATTTGTGATATTGACAGGTTTCATAGGAGCAGGCTTTCTGAATAACCACTTCAAAAATTAAGTGAAAAGTCATTAGTGGCAAATTACACACAATGATTTTAAGCCCCAGGAGGCTGCCCCTATGTACACATTGAATAGTCATTTGTTCTTAGGTTATTGTAAATATAGCCAGTTAAATTCACTGTAAAAAGGAAAAAAAAAAAAACTGAATTGCATTTGTTGTGAAATTGGTAAAGTGCCTCTAATTTTAACAGTTTGGCATTTCAAAAGACATAAAATAATTTTGGAACATCTGGCAGCGAACGAGATTGTAGATTCCTGACTAGCTTTATCCATTGTTTCATCCTTTTTTCCCTTTTCTCTTTTTGTAGATCTGAACGGAATTAAGAAGAAAGAACTTCCACAATCATAGCAGATGAAGATCCATTGGTAAATCGATCAGAATTTTGGCCTGCCCTCCAAAGAAAAGGTAACTGGCTGTCCCAACATAGCACAGCCGAATAAATGCAGCGCTTCTGGTTATAACACAGTTTGACTTTTACCAAAGGATGATAAAACTATCATAAATTAAAGTTCCGGGTATCTGAGTAAGATCTCCAGTATGACCCTGAAATGATCTTAGTAATATGAAATGACAGTGAATTTAAGAGTACAATATTTTTTGGTGTGTGTTTGTCAAAAGAAAAAGTGCTAAATAACCACCCCCAACTTATTAACACTGTAGGAGGACTTTGGAGATAGGAACATTTCCCACCCTCCATCTCTATCTACCTTTTTCTAGGAATTTATCCAAAGACATGCTCTTGTGTTTCTGTTCAATTCCACTTTCCCTCACTCCTGTTTTCTTCTCTCTGTAAGCAATGCTGACGCAGCTGCTCAGGGCAGGGAAGATCCTAAACAAATTTTAAAATAGGCAGGAGTTCTTCAGACACACGCTCTGGGCCCAGTGCCTTTGCCCAGATTGCCAGGCGGTGTGTGCTCATGAGCAGTCCTAGATCACTACAAAAATAGAAGCCACTATTAATTGAGTTTCTCACTACATATTTGCCATTGTGCATTTAATATTTGGGGAGGAGGGTGGTAAGTTTCACATACTGTGAAAAAGAGGAAAAAATTCCTGGAGGAATTTTTATTCAAACAAAACAAAATCCATTTTCCCATCTACTCCTGAAAGGAATGAGGGAGCTTGAATTTAAGATGCAGTTTAAGATGAGTCACTGAGGGATAAAACTGAACATGATCCAAATAGGGAAGACCAAAGGAGGTTCAGCTTCTGAAATGGATCAACTTGTATATTTAGGCAACAAATGCAGGTCTTCAAACAGTTTTAGGGAACTGTAGCAAAGATGGAAGCATTTTGAACAACATGAACTTTCATCCTCAGAGATAACATTTTGAACATTACAAACAGAAACAGGAGCTTCAGGGAGGATGTAGCAGTTCTGTTTAGGTGCTTAGAACAAATGACTGGATAGCTCTGAAGTCTCTACCTTCAAAAGGGGCCCTTAAAATTTTCTGACCTAAAGCTGAAAGGCCAGCATTTCAGAAGTATCCTTCAGGGATCATCAGAGTCATCACAGAGGATGGCATTCATTGTGGAATGTCTGGAAAGTGCCAGAAAAGCAGCGTTTTCCTAGATGGTGGTGAGCAACTGGCAGTGGGGGGTGAGGGTGGAGAGGAGGTAGAGAGAAAACACATTTGACTGAAATGCTAAAGGAGCTCTTTAGTCTGTAGTTGTTCATTGAGCTGCTACTGTGAGCAGAGGGATTGTCCTTGAAGAGGAAAAGAGAATAGGAGGTGGTTTTCACAGGCTACAATTATGACTTATTCTTTTTTGAGTAGTATTTGGATGAAAGATTAATTTGATACTAGGAAGTCAATGACAGGGGCAGGGAAGGAAGAAGCATAACAAACAAGTCCTCAGGAAGAAGTGTGACAAACTCAAGTCCAGACAGGTAGGGGAATGAAATGGGCCAGGTAGAACTGCGAGGAACTGTCAAATTCATGACCAGTCTGAAAGGGCAGCCCCTTTTCAATGCCAGCTGATTATAGGCCCAGTACCCATGCAGCAAGTGTTTCTTGAGTGCCCACCCATGTCATGCTGTGCTCTCTGGGCATTGGGGATTAATTAGTAAATCAGAGGGACAAAAGTCCCTGCCATTGTGCCACCTACTTTTTCATGGCAAGAAACAGATAATAGAAAATCTAGTAAGTAAATATAGTATACTAGATGATGATAATTGGTTAGAAAAAGCAGGTCAGGATAATGAGAATCAGGTGTGCTGATGAGGGGGTGGAGTTGCAGCATTAAATAGCGTGTCACGGTAGGCTTTTTGAGAAGGTGAGATCTGTGCATTAACGATGAAGGAGTGAACATTTCATGCAAAGGCCTAAAGCAGGAGTCTGCCTGGGCCTTCCGAGAAAGGAGAGGGCCAGAGCTGCGTGAGGGGGCAGGAGAATGATAGGAAATAAAGTCAGACAGGTACAAGACCAGTGGGTACAGCCTTAAAGGCCGTCCACCAGGCCTTTTATTCTGGGAGGAGAGGAAGGCCACTGGAAGGTTCTGAGTAGAGGAATGGCTTGATCTGACTTCTCTTTTTTTTTTTTTTAAGATTTTATTTATTTATTTGACAGAGAGGGAGAGCACACGTGTGTACAAACAGGGGGAGTGGCAGGCAGAGGGAGAGAGAAGCAGGCTCGATGCAAGACTCAATCCCAGGACCCGGATCCCGCCGGGCATCGTGACCTGAGCCCAAGGCAGACGCTTAACCAGCTGAGCCACCCAGGCACCCCTGTGACTTATGTTTTAATAAAAGTGCTGTGGCCACTATATTGAGATAGGCTCTAGGGGGCAAGGGTAAAAACCAATTAGGCTGTGGGTATTGTAATAAGCCAGGCACATTTTTAAGGGAACTGAACTTGACTTCAATTATTTTCCTTGCGTTTTTCAATGATAGCAACTAATTTAAGAAAGAAAACAGTTTGAGTAAACCTAAATAAGTCTGGGATTCTGCCATCTGCTGACAGTTTGCTACCTCACCTATAGAAGTGGAGAAGGAATTCAGAGGGTGAGAACTTCGGGGCAGGCTAAATTGGGGAGGGTAGGGGTTGATTTGAAACTCACGTGAAAGCTTGACTTTGTTTAGCTGGTAAAGCTGAAGGAAGGGAAAGATAATGGCATGCAACTCTTCATGATAGCCAAAAAGTAGCAACAACCTAAATGTCCATCACTGATGAACAGATAAATTGTGGTACTTCTACACAGTGGGATATTATTTAGCCATAAAGAGGAATAAATTATAGACATGTGCTCCAACATGGATGAACCTTGAAAACATTATGCTAACTGAAAGAAGCCAGACACAAAAGGCCACATATTGTGTGGTTTTAATTATGTGAAATATCTAATATAGGCAAATCTATTGAGACAAAACAGATGAGGTTTCTACAGGCTGGAGGAGGGATGGGAGAAGGGGAGTGACTACTTAATAGGTACAGGATTTCCTTTTGGGGTGGTGAAAATGTTCTGGAACCACATAGTGATGATGGTTATAGCATGCTGTGTATGTACTAAAGGCCACTAAGTTATACACTTTAAAGTGGTTAAAATTGTGAATTTTATGTTTTGTGAATTTTGCCTCAATTAAAGAAAAAAGAATGGTACGCAGAAAAACATTTGAGGGGTATCTTTTAGGTCCTGTTTAGCTCAAGTGGAGACTTTGTAAGGGGGACAGATGGGTGGTAAAGCTGGAAAAAGGATGTTGGGCCAGGTAATGAAAGGTGTTGCCTGCTAAGCCAAGGAGTTTAGAATCTCTTCTGTTGGCAGCTGTAAAGTATAGCAGCGTATATTCCATGAGGAAGAATGAGACAAGAGGGGCGCCTGGGTGGCTCAGTCGGTTAAGCGGCTGCCTTCGGCTCCAGTCATGATCCCAGGGTCCTGGGATCGAGCCCCACGTCGGGCTCCCTGCTCGGCAGGGAGCCTGCTTCTCCCTCTCCCTCTGCCTGCCTCTCTGCCTACTTGTGTGCTCTCTCTCGCTCTGTCAAGTAAATAAATAAAATCTTAAAAAAAAAAAGAATGAGACTGAAGAGAGTTGGTACTTTGGAAATCCCAGCTTCTGTGTTTCAAAGCAAAATAAATAGCTTCTGGCCTTATCAGTCTGTGATAACTGCTATTCACTTGGTAAAATTTTGTAACTATGTGAGGGGATGGGATGTGTCAACTAACCTTATTATAATCATTTTGCAATAAGTGTATCAAAATATGCACATCTTAAACTTACATGTTATATGCCAATTGTATTCCAATAAAGCTGGAAGACTTGAAACATTATATAAATATGTATGTTAATAAAAAGTCCCTTTAATTCTTTCATTTCCTGTTCCCCCTAAGTCCAGAGTTATCTAGACTGTTTTCTATGCATAGACTTGTCATCTTTATCACTATTACTGTTTCACAAAAATAGGCACATATTATGTACAGTATTTTGCATGTTGCTTTTAAAAATTTTTACCTTGGCTGTCTTTCCACTTCTTTTGGACTGCTACATTATATGCTGACTTCATTTGTAAAAACAAACAAAAAATGAAAAGCAAATGCTATTTACCTCTATTACAAAGAGGATGAGGTATCATAAAATATAAAAGTAGCTAACAATGAGTGCTTACTATGTGACAAGTACTGTTCTAAGCATATTACATAATTGAGTCCTTGTAACAGCTTCATAAGGTAGGATACTGTTACGGTACTGCATAGATGAAGTGTAGATACTGTTACAATCCTCCTGTTAGAACCTAACTGAGGCAGAGACAAAACCTGTCCTGTTAAGGTCCAGAATTAGGCAGTGGCAGAGATGGGCTCCAGGACAAGTTTCAGCTCCCACTGATGGTTGTCCTGAGGGACCTTGTGGCCAATGGTGTGAGATCGTAGAGATTTTTCAGAGGTCAGTCTGGAATTTTGTGTGAAATTTTCCAAGTTTAATGCTGGCTTTAAAAAATTTTTTTTTAATTGAGATATAATTCAAATACCACAGATTTACCCATTTAATAGTTTTTAATATAGTCATAGTGTTGTGTAACTGTCACCTCTATGTAGGTCTGAACATTTTCATCACTCCCAAAGGAGGACCTTATTTCCATTAAGCAGTAACTCCTCATTTTCCCCTCCCCTCAGGTTCTAAAAGCCACCCATTTGTTTTCTGTGTGTATAGATTGGCCTATTCTGGACATTTTATATAAATGAGATCATATAATATGTGGCCTTTTGTGTCTGGCTTCTTTTACTTAGCTTGTTTTTCAGGCTCATCTACTCATCTATGTTGTAGCATGTATCAGTACTTTACTCCTTTTGATGGCTGAATAATAGTCCATTGTGTAGATATGCACAATTTTATTCATCAGTTGATGGGCACTTGGATTGCTTCTACCTTTTAGCTATTGTAAGTAATGCTGTTATGAACATTGGTGCACAAA